GGCTCTGGGGACCTTGTCCCCAAAGCCACCCCCCCCTCTAGACACAGAAAAGCAAAGGCAATCCCATTATCCACGGCCTAGAACCCCAGAGTCCTTACAGTCCCAAGCACACTGCAGTGCGTCCCACTTCGGGAGCCTCGGCTCCTCTCCTCTTGCTTCTTTTTTGCAGAGAGGCCAATATGGAAGAAGTAAGTGTTGGGGTGTGTGTAGGTCGCCTGGCCACTGATGGCGACCTCACGAATTTTATTGGGTTTTATGAGTCGGTTTTGCCAGTTTCTTCCTCAGAAAACAGAGCCCAATAGTACCTGGGATTCGTTGCTGGTCTCCCATCCAAGTACTAACCAGGGCTGACCCTGCTTAGCTTCCAATATCAGACGAGATCTGGTGCCTTTAGGGAAGAAGATAACAAATAGCGAAAAGAGGAGATGAATAATCCAGCAGTGCCTAAAGACAGTAGAAGGAAGGAAGGAAGGAAGGAAAATTGAGCTTGGTCCCTAGGTCCCTAGTAGTTTGAGTGTTGGACTACAACTCTGAAGACTTGGGTTCGATTCCCAGCTCAGCCATGAAACCCACTGGGTGATCTTGGGCGAGTCACACTCTCTCAGCCTCAGGGGAAGGCAATGGCAAACCTCCTTTGAACAAATCTTGCCAAGAAAATCCCAGGATAGAGGCTCGCCTTCAGGTCGCCTTAAATCAGAAACGACTTGAAGGCACACAACAACAGCAAGCCTATGCTTTCTCCCAGGATGGGAGGAAAGATATTTGAAGAATGGGGGTGAAGTGGTCAACTCAGATTGTCCCCTATTTCTTAACCCACCTACCCCCATAAAGACAGGTGTGGGTTGGAAATGTGATTCCTCAATTTCGGAACCAGATCTTCCAAAATGGGTCACTTAGGGCCTTTGCAGACTGCCAGAAATAGTGCACATGAAATTGAGGCACTGCCCTGGCTCAGTGCTAGGGAATCATGGGAACTGTAATTTATTGTGGCACCAGAGCTCTCTGACAGAGAAGGCTCAATGTCTCAGAAAAAAATACAATTCCCATGACTCCCTAGCACTGAGCCAGGGCAGTGCCTCAATTTAATGTGCACTATTTCTGGCAGTCTGCAAAGGCCCTTAGCGAACAACATGGACTTTTCCCCCCTCCAACTCTATAAGACTCATTCAGGGCAAGTGAATTAGATTTGTAAATGGTACTCTTAGGGGACTTTTCCTAGCGGATCTTAACTTGCAGTACAATCATCCAGCCCATGGCCTAGTAAAAGAACAGTCTTGCATTTCAACCCATTTAATTCCATGGGCCTTAAATCGGCTCTTCTGGTCAATAGGCTCAAAGGAGTACGCTTAGGCTTGCTCCTGCTTTTTACAGGGCTTGCTGCCATCTAAAGGGCCCGTGTCTGAGTATGTGTGTATATGGGTCTTAACAGACTGCCAGAAATGATGCAGCTTGAGGCCACTAACTGTCCTGGCTCAGTGCTAAGGAATCATGGGAACTGTAGTTTATTGTTGCTCCAGACCTCTCTGACAGAGAAAGCTCAATGTCTCAGAAAAAAAAAAAAATTACAGTTCCCATGATTCCTTAGCACTGAGCCAGGGCAGTTAGTGGCCTCAAGCTGCATCATTTCTGGCAGTCTGTAAAGGCCCTATAGATACCTGCTTGTGTTTGTTGCAAACAGAGAGAGAGAGAAAGGAAAGAGAGACTAACCACCTATTTCCTCCTTTCCTAGTGCCCAGAATGAGGATTTCTTCTTTGCAATGTATAGAGAGATCTTGTAGCACATTTGAGATTGAAAGAATGAAGTTGGCAGCATGAGCTTTGGGAGAGTTCTGCTTCCTCAGATGCATTTGGTAGAGAGGAAAGTGGAGTACAGACGGATATATATATATGTATGTCATTAATTTGTGAGGATGTCAATTTCAATTCATAGGTCTCTCCCTGGCTTTCCACTCCACCTAATGCATCTGAAGAAATAGATTTAAATCTACCAAAGCTCATGCTGCCAACTTCTTTCTTTCAGATAGGGCCTTTGCAGACTGCCAAAAATAGTGCAA